GGAAAAGAGGAAATTATAATCATGCCGCTGCCAGGCGAAACATCGCCATAGGTCGTCTTGAAGCTGGGGAGTCGCAGTCTGCAGTTTCCCGACATTTCAACTGTCATCAGAGCACCGCCTCAAACACTTCTACAACTGGCCGTCGCATTACTGGAAGAGTGGGGAAGAATTCCGCAAGAGCGACCTCGATCCAGTCTGTGCCGAGACGGTGACGAGCAGTAATTGCTGCTATGCAATTGTGGCCATACAAAGTATATACTGACTTTCACTCAAAGTGCACTTGTGGACTCAAGTAAGCAGAAACACAACAATACAGGATGATGTTGTGTTGGCGAACTCTTTGTCTATAGACGTGTGAATTAACACCCTTTTACCATTGCAATTACAAGACAAAATTGCTGTTAAACTAGCGCAAGAAATTCTTCTAAGAATGGCTTATGCGTTTCTTTCTTTTGAAGAGTGTACATATGCTTGTCCCTGAATTTAAAACTGTAAATGAAACATAAATTTTACTCGATATGTCGTGCTGCTTAAGTTTGCAAATAATCGATCTAAATGCGTGAAATTGATGTTTATTTTGTAAACAGGGTTTAGTGTTTCATGGGAGAAAAAGTTACTGACGTATTGTCCTGAAACTATAGTTTAATGTTAAATGAAGCACAGTTATGTTTAAAGAAACCTTTGTGACTATACGAAACTAAATCAGGAAACATTACTAATCATTACCACTTGGAGGAAACATTACGATACCTAGTGGTTTGTTTATAACATAGCCGAAAGACTGTTTCCAATGTTCTTTTTTGCAAATGTTATTGATGTACAGAAAAAAATGCTAGAGAAACACACGTTACGTAGCAACCGCCATTGCTGATTTAACAGTCATGCAGTTCGAGCCGTGACACTGGAGAAAAGACTTCTGAAGGTCATGACTGATTTTACTGAAGATACTCTCACATTTCTGGATGTTGGCACAGGTATTTTTTAATACATGAAATTGATATTTGTTGTACGATTTTTATGTCCTAACATTTAATAATATAGATGCTTTTGAAATTACAGATAATACTTGAAGAACAAACTGATTCACTTTTTCGTTTACGACCTTGTAATTACAGAACAAACGACATGTTGGAACGTATGTGTCACGTTCCTTCCTCTGATGAAAAAAAAGAGAAAATTGAATGTTGAAACAAGGCGAAATGTTTTGTTGATTTTGTTGACACAGTTGATCCAAATTTGCAACAATTTTCAACAAGAAATAGTTTAAATGCAATCGCGGTTTTGTTGTAGTGTGGTTGGTAAAATAGTTCGTCGGTTTTATCTTTTGGTAACAACAACGAAGAAAAAGTACGTTGAGGTTTTGGTTTTGGCTTTGGGGTTGGCTTTTCGAGAAATTGTCACTCTGTTACTTCAAAAGATATAGAGACGAATGTATATTTGAATATTGTGTGTTGTTGTGTGGACTGGCGAGTGAGTGAGTGGCTAGGTGGGTGTGTGAGAGGTCGGTGTGATGTGTGGACTGGATAGTGAGTGAGTGGCAGGGTGAGTGTGTGTGAGAGGTCGGTGTGATGTGTGGACCGGCGAGTGAGTGAGTGAGTGGCTGTGTGTGTGTGTGTGTGAGAGAGGTCGGTGTGATGTGTGGACCGGCGAGTGAGTGAGTGGCTAGGTGTGTGTGTATGTGTGTGAGGTCGGTGTGATGTGTGGACTGGCGAGTGAGTGAGTGAGTAGCTGGGTGTGTGTGTGAGAGGTCGGTGTGATGTGTGGACTGGCGAGTGAGTGGCTAGGTGTGTGTGTGTGTGTGAGGTCGGTGTGATGTGTGTACTGCCGAGTGAGTGAGTGGCTGGGTGGGTGTGTGAGAGGTCGGTGTGTTGTGTGGACCGGCGAGTGAGTGAGTGGCTGTGTGTGTGTGTGAGAGAGAGAGAGATAGAGGTCGGTGTGATGTGTATACCGGCGAGTGAGTGAGTGGCTAGGTGTGTGTGTGAGAGATCCGTGTGATTTGTGGACTGGATAGTGAGTGAGTGGCAGGGTGAGTGTGTGTGAGAGGTCGGTGTGATGTGTGGACCGGCGAGTGAGTGAGTGAGTGGCTGGGTGAGTGTGTGTGAGAGGTCGATGTGTCGTGTGGACTGGTGAGTGAGTGAGTCAGTGACTGCATGGGCGAGCGTCTGAGATGACGGTGTGTTGTGGGGACTGGCGAGTTAGTGAGTGGCTGGGTGGGTTTGTGAGTTGTTGAGTGAGTAAGATGTGGAGTAGGTCCTTGAACAAACAAGTAGATATACTCTGTTGATGTACTCACGTCCATATATGTTACCTTCAGCTGTGTCGACCAGGCGAAACAAATTATCAACTTTTTAAATCTTGTGTCAAGGTCATAAGAAGCAGCACTAGATATCAAACCAGACGTTAACAACCAAGTAGGTTGTCATGTTATACAAGAGGCTCATTCAGACAATCTGAAGTTATTAGTCTTGATTACAAACACCCCTACTTATGTAACATATGAGCATTGCCTACCGTCACAACATGCTGACTAAGTGAATTATGTAATACAAATAACGAAGTATTCATTGTTTTGGGTTGGCTTAGGGTGGATTCGCTCCATGTAACGCACCCCACCCCCCTCCTACCCCCAAACACACACTCCATTTTGTAAAGAAACCATTGACCTCCCCCAGGTACATCATTAGAACAAATGTATAGTCTCGGCAAAAGTGAACGTAGATTTCAAAATTTCATATCTGAAACCTAGCACCTGATTTGTCTCAGGACCTATAAGACCTTATGCTTGTTTGTTTGTTGTTTCATGCCTCACCCAGCAGTATTCTAGCTATATGGCGGCACAAGTCCTTAAGTGAGGCTGGTCAGTTAAGGTCACACGACGGACCATCTTTGGTTACCTTGCAGATACATAGCGTTGGTTCCTCACGCCGAAGGCCCGGGTACTGTATAAAGTCCGTTCTTGGTATATATATCCCTCTCCGGTGTAAAATTAAATGCAACAACACTGAAACATAGCTTCAGTAACCTCAATTTGGCGTAGGAAATGACGATAACCATTATTGCTAAGAATTTTAATGAATATTGAACATGTGGCAGGTATAATCAAGGTCCTGAAGCTCGTTGTTGCTCTGTGTTGATTACTTTTTCCTTTTCATATCTAACATCAGCACAATTAGACAGATAAGGTCACAATGATATGGCAAAACTGTACTCTTCATACCTGGTGGTGACCTCAACAAGATCCTCATGTGTCACTCATGTGTCACACGTGCTTATATCCATCACATTCCACCGACGCTATTTTATCCACCTCCTGCTAACACGATCACAATGAGATTGTTGGGTTGATCACCGTTTAAAACAGCATTAAGTTATCTCAAGTTTAACACAGGAAGAACGCTAGTCTGTCTCACAGTACAAGAACCAACTTATTTTCCCTAATGCCTAGCCCTCCCTGCAATGCTAAAGCCCTAAATAAAGCAAGTCTAGATTTACCCAGGTTCAGCCTGAATCTCCCAACTCACTGGAGCTCCTTTTCAATTTAAATGGGTTTATTTGTTACTATCAAAATTATACATTTTCAGTGACTAAGCGTTAGTCTAGATGAACGTTTAAAGGGAAGAATGTGGCTCAGCTGCACTGGTTTAGTACACCAGCGGATACGGATTGTCAGCTTAACCAAGGAAGAAAACCCCAAAGAGATGGAGGTCATTGTGTTTTACTGCTAAGGTGAAACCAGCGATTACGGATTGACAGTTATCCTTGGAAGGAAACCCATAAGGATGGCGGTAGTTGATCTTTACTGTATAAAGTGAAACCATCGAATACGGATTGTCAGCTTAACCAAGGAAAGAAAACAAACGTGATGGAGATGCTGAGTTTAACCGATAAGGTTAATCCAGCGAATACTGATTGACAGTTTATCCTAAGATGAAAACCCCATAAGATGGCGGTTGTAACTTTAACTGCTAGGGTGAAACCAGAGATTACGGATTGACAGTTTATCCTTAGATGAAAACCCAGTAAGATGGCGGTTGTAACTTTAACTGCTAGGGTGAAACCAGAGATTACGGATTGACAGTTTATCCTTGGAAGGAAACCCATAAGGATGGCGGTAGTTGATCTTTACTGTATAAAGTGAAACCATCGAATACGGATTGTCAGCTTAACCAAGGAAGAAAACCCAAAGAGATGGAGGTCATTGTGTTTTACTGCTAAGGTGAAACCAGCGATTACGGATTGACAGTTATCCTTGGAAGGAAACCCATAAGGATGGCGGTAGTTGATCTTTACTGTATAAAGTGAAACCATCGAATACGGATTGTCAGCTTAACCAAGGAAGAAAACCCAAAGAGATGGAGGTCATTGTGTTTTACTGCTAAGGTGAAACCAGCGATTACGGATTGACAGTTATCCTTGGAAGGAAACCCATAAGGATGGCGGTAGTTGATCTTTACTGTATAAAGTGAAACCATCGAATACGGATTGTCAGCTTAACCAAGGAAAGAAAACAAACGTGATGGAGATGCTGAGTTTAACCGATAAGGTTAATCCAGCGAATACTGATTGACAGTTTATCCTAAGATGAAAACCCCATAAGATGGCGGTTGTAACTTTAACTGCTAGGGTGAAACCAGAGATTACGGATTGACAGTTTATCCTTAGATGAAAACCCAGTAAGATGGCGGTTGTAACTTTAACTGCTAGGGTGAAACCAGAGATTACGGATTGACAGTTTATCAAGATGAAAAGCCAAAGAGATGGTTGTTAGCTATATTGCTATGGTGAAACCAGCGATTACGGATTGTCAACTTTTCCCAGGAAGAAAACCGAAAGTTGTGTGGAGAAGATATTCTAATGGCTAACCTTGGACCATCATCGGGCCAATCTCGAATGGGTTAACTGATAACGAATGTCACTTTGCATATCAAAGTGTACCTCAGTCCAATAATATGTAGCAAGTTTCTTTTTTGTGTATTCAATAAAAGACACAACAGGACATGCAATGTGAGTCATTTAATTCACTTCAAACAAACAACAACGTACATGATCTTGTAACACAGTCATTGTCCAGCACGGTTGTCAGTGAGCCAGTTGAAACAGATATACGGACATGCTATTTTAAAAATATACATTTTCAAATTTCGACACCCATTACAACAACCACTAAAATACAATCTTTCGAGTGCATCCTGAATTGCTTTCACTATAAGGCAGATGTTAGCGACGAGGCGCAAGAAGTCTATATCACAATTCATTAAACCACTGTTGAACAAGTTTGTAAAACTTGATGTCACATATCATGTTCAGCTTAAAAAACGTCCGAGTAAAAAAAGGGTATGCCAGGAAACAATGTAGTTACTTTTTCAGGATGGTTGACTAGCACGCGTTTGCTGTCATGATAAGGCATAACGTTTTAAAACAATACAAAAGGAATATGCTAAACTAGTGCAACTGGTGTTGCATCCTGCAGGATGTAAAGTTTGCCTAGAGGCAGTAACCATTTCAGGTTATCCTTTTTGATTCGGATGCATGGTGAAGTACGGGGAAATTGTGTGATGAAAATAATTACGTGTTCGGTATAATTCTAAGAAGATAATTCATTTTCCATTCGTAGAAAAATCGTTTGTCATTTGTTTAGAAAAATCAGGCATGTACGAACAGTCATTTTGGATGAATAGGTGTTGATTTTATGAGAAATCATTTCGGACTGTCAGAAACTGTACATGTGGAAAATCACTTCGGATGATGAATTTGTACGTAATCGCAAAGGATGACTTGTGGGCAATTGTATCAGATGTTAGGGGGCGTAATGCGTGAGCAGTTGTCCAAGGTAAGTGAGAACTGTCCTTATGGACACTCACTGCTCATGGTTAGCACTTAACTTGTGAATTATCCCTTGTCAGGAAATGAAATCATCACTTCGGATGGTAAGCACTATAATTGTGGTCAGTCACGTCGGATAGTAAGCACTGATGTTGTGGCGAGTCACTTAGAAAGGTAAGTACTAAACACGGGATCACTTCGGAAGGTTAGCACTGAACTTTCCAACAGAATTGAACTTATGGACAATCGCTTCGGTTGGTCTTGTATTAATGTTGAAGCAAGTGTCCAGGCAGAATGCAAATTGCAGCAGACGCTGGAAGGGACGAAACTTAAATTTTGTTTTAAGCCACGCCCTCCTGAATCCCCGGTTGGCTGCATGGTCCGACGTCTCCGTCGGCAACCCCATCTGGATGGCATTCTTGCTTTCTAAGGGCTAAGCACGGGACATCCGGTCGTCCGACATGTTTGCTGGCTGTCTCGAATCTCCAAGTAACACACTGATCTAAACAAGGAGAACGTTAAGTTAGAGAGTGGAGAAACATATTCCAAACATTGTCATTTGAAAATTATATTTTGGTGAGGCCATTACAAATATTTATATCCCTCATACGATCAGGCCGCAATTAGTAATGAAAAGGTCTTTTCCCATTTTTCGAGCTTAATCCTCTTAATCCTTTGCTTAGATAAAAACAACAACTGATTTCTGATATCGATATTGTCAATGTATGTATAATCGTTAATACTCTGTTTAAGTTAATTTTGAATCACAATCAAACAGTTCCAAAGAAGGGCCTTATAGTTGCCCCATCAACAATTTGAATAGGCGACGTAGACTCTATAAAAACTCCCGTTAGGTCATACCTCTGATGACGAATGCATTTGGTTTGTGGCTTTCATGTCTGCATTATTGATGTAGTTCAAATAGGAATCTAGCAGGTTTTGCATTATCTTTTGTTGTACATCAGTTATGGCTGCTGGGTCCATGAATTCGGGGATTTGCTTCCAGTATTTCATTAAGAGATAAGGTGAGATAGAATCAAACACCTGTGTGTTCCATACACCTGCCACAGAGGATGGTACTGCAGACTTATATGTGTCTTTGGAAACATTACCAGGCTGTTGTGGTGGCCCTTGACACAAACATAGTCCTGTGACTTGAATACATTTACAAGTACACTCCACATCAGACTCCGAATCGGAATCAGTTGACATACTATAGTTTTTAGCCCTCCTTGACCACTCTGATATTGTCTTATTGTCATATGCTCTATCGTAAAGAACCTCAAACGCTTTGCTAATTTCCGAGAAGGACTGGTTCTCCTCGTGTTGTTCGTAAACATCCCGAGTCTTTACAGCGTTTGGCAGCGAGGCAGAAGTTACGTCGCCTTTCAAAGGAACCTTTCTATGATTTGAGGTGCCACTGTCCTTGGATGTCCCTTTGTTTCTAGTCTTGTGTTTGTTCCAACACTTGCAGCTGCAATCTTGACCATAAAGAGAAAGTGCGCGAGTGTTTGTGGGGTGCTGTTGGGACCTTGGAATCGAGGGGACGTCTGCTGAATTGTCCACTGTTGCACTACCTGTGGAATATTCGTTTGATGGAGGCTGAGTCACAGAGTATGTTTCATCTTCTGTAGTCTGGGACGGTAAATAATTCCTTATCTCCTGACCACAAGAAGATGTCATTGGCGATGTGACGGTGCTATTATTACCCTCAAAATCCTGTTCAAAAACACGCTGATTCCCCGTGGAATGATATTGTTTTCCTTGCTGCCAAGATGACGGAGAATTGCTTGTGGTCTTACGAAACTTCTCAAACATAGCGTGTGTAAAGCTTCCACTATAAACATCATAGTTGTGACCAACTTCCGGTTTTCGTCGTTTACCCCCGTTATCTTCCATGCTGCTGTTGCTTTTGCGACGAAAGCTGAGCGGGGTGGATGGCCTCTCGAAGTCTTCCAAAAGTTTTAACATTGAATCGATTTCATCACTGGACATGGAGTAAAGTGCTGACGGGTCTGTCACTGAAGCTTCATAACCAGTAGAAGTTGTCGATGGACTGCCCTGACCGGGACATTTAGATTCCGCTGGGAAAGCGGAGGCTCCTTCCAATTTGTAGTCACCCTGTGCATCGTCCGGCTCGGTTTGAAACGGATGTTTATAATCTTCTTCCCCATCTTCATATGTACTGTATTCAGATGTACTTGTAATAGTTGAAGATGTCTGAGGTGGAATGTAGAGGGAGCTTAAGGATTTAAGTGACAGCTTGTCCCTTGGCAAGCTTGTGATCATCTGTTGCAGTGTGTATTTTGTCCTCAAGACATCAGAACCATTCATCCCTGTGGGAGTGGGTTTCGGACGGGTTCCTGGTTCATCAACAGCCGAATCTTCGTTTGTGGGCAAAGTGTAGTTGGGAGGAGATGCTGAAGCAGGAGGATTTGGTCGGACCTTTATCTCCAGCATCTCAATCTCGTCACTAGAAGCACTTTCATTTGAGTGTAAAAATAGGATCTCCTCAGTTTCGCCTATACTTGTTGGGTATCCAATAGGGGGACTTGTTCCTTCTACTCTGCAGCAGTCCAGGTCCTTCTTTTTAGGTCTACCCATCTTAATAGCTGTAATACAAATGAAAGGAATTATAAACTAAGGTTTATGGTAGTAGCCTCATAAGAGATAAGGTGAGATAGAATCAAACACCTGTGTGTTCCATACGCCTGCCGCAGAGGATGGTATGGCGGAGTTAAATGTGTCTTTGGAAACATTACCAGGCTGTTGTGGCGGCCCTTGACATAAACATAGTTCTGTGACTTGAATACATTTACAAGTACACTCCACATCAGACTCCGAATCGGAATCCGTTGACATACTATAGTTTTAGCCCTCCTTGACCACTCTGATATTGTCTTTTGTCATATGCTCTATCGTATAGAACCTCAAACGCTTTGCTAATTTCGAGAAGGATTGGTTCTCCTCGTGTTGTTCGTAAACATCCCGAGTCTTTACAGTGTTTGGCAGGGAGGCAAGTTGAGACACAACGGATAGTTAATCTCTGACGTGATTGATGACAATTGACAGATTCCTTCCGGACAAGATATGTTGAGTTATAACCCACAGTGATCAAGGTGGTTCCACCACCAAGGTAATTCTGCTTACCGTCACGTGACATTCCAACGCTGAGGCACTTCCGGTACCGGCATGACCTGCATGTGTTTCGGCTTCGAGGATTTATGACACATGAGTTGTCACCCTTGCATTGATAGGTTCTATTCTCCACAAGACCGCGTCGAAAGAATTTCTGAAATATCATGTCATATCAGATCTATATCGGTTTCATGGATTGGGTTCATTTTAATATACCAGCACAGTGAACACCATACACTGTAGTGCGCACAATAGAAATATGCATGATATACTAACAAGCTCAAGCGCATTAAACATGGAGCCAGACAGCTGTGGAGTTCACGCAGTTGGATTGAAATAAACTAACATAAACTAACTGGCATAAACTAATATCAGAGATATTCTGTAGGTAAGGTTATTGGTGCGAAACGTCAGCTTTATACAGTAGATACATATTGACAGAAATGACTGGACACAAGTAAACAATAGCACTTTATCCACATCCCCATTTACTTCTCCATAGCCTTCTCTTAGATCTTTTCTTCCTATTTAACTACAACTGTTTGTGATCTCCTGTCTACATTGTACATAGACCTACCCCTTTTGTAGCGCTTTGAGCGAGCATTGAATGCACGGATACAGGTGCAGTTATAAACACCCACTATTATTATTATTATTATTATTATTATTATTATTATTATTATTATTATTATCCCTTCGTGCAGTTGCAGCGGCCATGCAATTTACCAGTGGCGTGATGAGATTCAAACAAGGACATTTTCATCAGAGTTCGGGCACCTTGCCCACATGACCAAGGAGGTACGTTGACAAGGTGAGGATGCCACCAATGGGATGACATCACACATACCATCTCATTAAACGCGGACAAAAAAATCATGATCAAACCCTTTTTGTGTTTTAGTCAAAGACTAAATAAAGACGGAATAAATACATTTTTTGCTTAAACTTATACATATAAAGAAGATCTTAATTAAAACCTGGGTATTACAGATTGATAAAACGCCAGTGTTATAGTGTAACTAAGTAATGTTTCATTCAGAACATATATTTATACAATACACACCTTACAACCCTCGCATGTGTAAACTCCAAAATGTATGCCATTGGCCAGATCTCCACACACCAAGACACAAATACTGACCCTCTTCAGGTTCGATTCTCTCCGGTTTTTCTGGGAATGAAAATCAATATTAGGTACCATTTGAACGCTAATGTCTGACACCCCTTCATAGAACCGATCTCAGTCTTAAGACAGTCGTAATTCCCACACAACATCATAGACTTACGATTATCGTTATACTGAGATGACTTCGTGAAATGGACTGCCTGACTGAGTTTGGTTTTACGCCGCTTTTAGCAATATTCCAGCAACATCACGGCGGGGGACACCAGAAATGGGCTTCACACATTGTACCCATGTGGGGATTCGAACCCGGGTCTTCGGCGTGACGAACCAACGCTTTAACCACTAGGCTACCCCACCGCCCCTTGTGAAATGGACCCATAGAATAGGCGTATAATATTTAATTAAGGAATATATTGATGGTACACGTGTTTTGAGATTGTTGTGAAGACACAGTTTGCCGTATATAAATCGATCATAGTAATTTGCATAACTTTAAATGGAATTAGTATAGGCCCATAACAAGTTTGATATCTTTTACAATTAAGTAAAGGAGATACGACTGTCCGGTGCAAAAATGGCAAATTTGTTTAAGACATCACCAGCATTTGATGTTTATTGACAATATTTTGGGTTATATGTTTGGTTTTGTAACGGTGACCTATCACAAATTAAAATGACCAGATATTCCAGAGATCGATAACATTATAAACCACCCAGGCTACTCAAAGTCGCCTTGGGGGATCATGTGATCCATGCAGTCACCACTCACGAAAAGCATAGGTTAGGGGGGATCAGATCAAAGCAGGGACCCCCAGGGATGCCATGTACTCTGTGAGGGTCCGAATACACCCCTGTATAGCCTGCTATCAACCAATGGGTTGTCTGGTACAGAATTTATTATTTACAGGTCGCCGTCACATTATTCAGCTGGCGTAGAATGCACAAAAACTAGAAAATGATTAGCTGTTCAGTCTGTACAATACTGAACTAATACTGAATTTTGAATTGAATATCAATATTATCATGGTCATAGGTCACCATCGGTTTTTCGCTCGAAACTGAACAGATTCTGACATTCTGTGATTACTAAGTTAGGGAATACATATAAGTAAACTAACCTCTTCTTGTCATTCCAGCTTTTAGACACTTTTGGTATCGACAGGATTGACATCGAATCCGAGCTTGTTTCGTGACGTCACAGTTGCCATGACATTTACTGGAAAAGACCGGTTCCCCTTCTTTCGTACAGCGTATGTAAAAGCTCTGCGCACAAGAGAAACATAACATAGACATACAATATGAGCTACGGTTCTCACATGTAATCAATATTATAGACATGATAAGCCAAAACAGGAATATTTCATCGTCATGTTTTATCCCAATTAACAAAATAGCACAAATTATCATAGCGGGGTGTTGCGAATGTAGTTTTGATATACGTTCCTGTCGACATAGCAACACAGTGTTCTTTTTCAAGGTCGATTTACATACATATTCATGAGTAATTGAGTATAGATCCAGCACTAATGGCGGAATGGTAATGGGCTTACACAGACAGGGTATTGATCATGCCGGAAATACTCAACATGATCAAGCTAATAGAATCCTTGACCCGTAAATGTTGATTGTGTTCGAAATTATTGTCAAATGTCTGTCAAAACAAGACTGACAATGAAACCACAAACGTTTAAAATGTCGTTCACAAATGTCACAAGGATGGGTTTGTCTTGTACAAATTAATCAGATATTATTTGTGGTCAATATTGGTGAGGTTTTAACGCATGAATGGTCTTTTCTTGCATAAACCATGTGACAACTTTGCCAAAGAAAATAAATAATAAGAAGAGGGAAATCCTGGCTGCGATCGGGTCACATGCTCAGTTGGCTTCCTAGCATTGTATATCACAATAAAGAGTGTATGACTTTTTAATCCAATTTTTCTATGTGACTGAAAAATGTATATTATCTTTCGGGCAGTTTTCCCACACTTCTTGAGAAGCAGAGGATGCCTAGAACGTCTATTTTGGGGTAAGCTGTCATCAAAGACGGAAGGAGCTAATTGTTTAGGGTTGAAATAAACTCGCTGAATTGATAAATCTGTGTTTCATCTCTCCCTGTACATGTGCTGATGAACTAATCTGTGTTTCATCTCTCTCTGGATTTGTACATGTGCTGATGAACTAATCTGTGTTTCATCTCTCTCTGTATTTGTACATGTGCTGATGAACTAATCTGTGTTTCATCTCTCTGTACATGTGCTGATGAACTAATCTGTGTTTCATCTCTCTCTGTACATGTGCTGATGAACTAATCTGTGTTTCATCTCTCCCTGTACATGTGCTGATGAACTAATCTGTGTTTCATCTCTCCCTGGATGTGTACATGTGCTGATGAACTAATCTGTGTTTCATCTCTCTCTGTACATGTGCTGATGAACTAATCTGTGTTTCATCTCTCCCTGGATGTGTACATGTGCTGATGAACTAATCTGTGTTTCATCTCTCCCTGGATGTGTACATGTGCTGATGAACTAATCTGTGTTTCATCTCTCTCTGGATGTGTACATGTGAACTAATCTGTGTTTCATACATGTGCTGATGAACTAATCTGTGTTTCATCTCTCCCTGGATGTGTACATGTGCTGATGAACTAATCTGTGTTTCATCTCTCCCTGTGATGTACATGTGCTGATGAACTAATCTGTGTTTCATCTCTCCCTGGATGTGTACATGTGCTGATGAACTAATCTGTGTTTCATCTCTCCCCGGATGTGTACATGTGCTGATGAACTAATCTGTGTTTCATCTCTCTCTGGATTTGTACATGTGCTGATGAACTAATCTGTGTTTCATCTCTCCTTGTACATGTGCTGATGAACTAATCTGTGTTTCATCTCTCCCTGGATGTGTACATGTGCTGATGAACTAATCTGTGTTTCATCTCTCCCTGGATGTGTACATGTGCTGATGAACTAATCTGTGTTTCATCTCTCCCTGGATGTGTACATGTGCTGATGAACTAATCTGTGTTTCATCTCTCTCTGGATTTGTACATGTGCTGATGAACTAATCTGTGTTTCATCTCTCTGGATGTGTACATGTGCTGATGAACTAATCTGTGTTTCATCTCTCCCTGGATGTACATGTGCTGATGAACTAATCTGTGTTTCATCTCTCTCTGGATTTGTACATGTGCTGATGAACTAATCTGTGTTTCATCTCTCCCTGTACATGTGCTGATGAACTAATCTGTGTTTCATCTCTCCCTTAATGTGTACATGTGCTGATGAACTAATCTGTGTTTCATCTCTCCTTTAATGTGTACATGTGCTGATGAACTAATCTGTGTTTCATCTCTCACTGGATTTGTACATGTGCTGACGAACTAATCTGTGTTTCATCTCTCCCTGGATGTGTACATGTGCTGATGAACTAATCTGTGATTCATCTCTCCCTGGATGTGTACATGTGCTGATGAACTTATCTGTGATTCATCTCTCACTGGATTTGTACATGTGCTGATGAACTAATCTGTGATGAATGTTTTCCGTGCCAATATGTTTAGCTTTGAGGCGTTAACAGATCTGTTACAAATGGGTTTTACGTCAATTGTTAACACATCTGTTAACCCTGAGGGTACGTTTCACCTTTTTTTTTCTACGGATCCATTCCTCGTGCGAATGGATTCTACTTTGATCAACCAACATTTCTGTCAACCTGCCAGTGGATTCTACTTTGATCAACCAACATTTCTGTCAACCTGCCAATGGATTCTACTTTGATCTACCAACATTTCTGTCAACCTGCCAATAGGTTCTACTTTGATCTACCAACATTTCCGTCACCTATGCTAATCGGTTTTTCAAAGTTGTAAAGGGATCCGTTTCACTTTAGGCTATCCTCTCACGTTCAGTGGAAGTTGCGTTTTCACCACGTGACCACAAAAACGCCAAACATCCATGTGCCAATTCTATCACTAATAAATGTAAATATATGATAAAAAACCCGTCAGAACTTGTGAAAAATGTCCCAGACTTTCTAACGAAACATTTCATTAGGCGTACAGAGCATAGTAGCCATGAAATGTATTTGTATGGATCCGGTGGTCACACAAATTGTGAGGTATGCAATGCTGCCTTCACCTACGTCTAAGAAAATGACGTTCAGGTCAAAGACTTGCTCATCTACAGTTGATAACATAACGCCCCATGAAATCACGTAAAATAAGATTTACATAAATACTGGTGTTTTTGTGCTGAAGAGAACACAGTCAAATAATGTGTTAAAAGAATAAGGTGTGATGGGTTTGCAAATGTTAGTAAATGTTTTACATCGTAGCATATGTTTAATAAATTCAAAATTTATATATGTTTCTTGGAACAAATGCCATTTTTCACACGAAGTCCCATGACTTAAACCTAATTTGCAAGCGTCCTAGACATTGTAACCAAAAGGAAGCTGACAGCGTGACAGCCAGAAATATCAAAGCAGGGTTAAACTTCAGTCCCTCAGCACTCACTGTATGCGTTATCAACCTTTCAAATGAGTGTCTTACTCCTTGTACTGTTACACTGCTAAACTAAACAGTCTCCCTCAGTTTGCTGCAAAACAAATATCAGCTGAATTGTATTAACTTTGCACCTTTGATAACGTTTATTTGTAACGTCATTAGGTTCATAAAGTACAATTAATCGGTCTGTTTGAGCCAAAATTGGATCGACTGAAATTAGCCCTGACAAAGACTAGTATGCAGAAGAAAACACGCTATGATCGACCTGTGGAACTGGGTCCCTGGATAGATCAGCGACTGCCATTGTCTACATATCAGGCCACTGCAAACATCGATGGTTTCTAGGTACGTACATAATTCCCAACGAAGTAAACATCAGCACTTGTACTCTCTGGATACAGATCGATATGTGCTGCTCAATGAGTGCCTTGTGGATTTCTGGTTCTCCCATTGTGGGAATATTTGTCCATTACATCTGAGACGACTGTAATGTGCCATGTTAGTTGTGTCGGCTCTGTCACAAATGAATTTATAGTTCTGTCAGCATTGTCACAGGTGAATGTGTAGTTGTATCATTTCCGTCACAGGTGAATGTATAGTTGTATCATTTCCGTCACAGGTGAATGTATAGTTGTATCATTTCTGTCACGGGTGAATGTATAGTTGTTTCATTTCCGTCACAGGTGAATGTATAGTTGTATCATTTCCGTCACAGGTGAATGTATAGTTGTATCATTTCCGTCACAGGTGAATGTATAGTTGTATCGGTACTGTCACAGGTGAATGTATAGTTATGTCGGTACTGTCACAGGTGAATGTATAGTTGTGTCATCCCCGTCATAGGTGAATGTATAGTTGTGTCGGTCCTGTCACAGGTGAATGTATAGCTGTATCGGTACTGTCACAAGTGAATGTATAGTTGTGTCATCCCCGTCATAGGTAAATGTATAGTTGTGTCGGTCCTGTCATAGGTGGATGTATAGTTGTGTCGGTCCTGTCATAGGCGAATGTATAGTTGTGTCGGTCCTGTCACAGGTGAATGTATAGTTGTGTCGGTCCTGTCACAGGTGAATGTATAGTTGTGTCGGTCCTGTCACAGGTGAATGTATAGTTGTGTCGGTCCTGTCACAGATGAATGTATAGTTGTGTCGGTCCTGTCACAGGTGAATGTATAGTTATGTCGGTCCTTTCACAGGTGAATGTATAGTTGTGTCGGTACTGTCAAAGGTGAATGTATAGTTGTATCGGTACTGTCACAGGTGAATGTATAGTTATGTCGGTACTGTCACAGGTGAATGTATAGTTGTGTCATCCCCGTCATAGGTGAATGTATAGTTGTGTCGGTCCTGTCACAGGTGAATGTATAGTTGTGTCGGTCCTGTCACAGGTGAATGTATAGTTGTGTCATCCCCGTCATAGGTAAATGTATAGTTGTGTCGGTCTTGTCATAGGTGGATGTATAGTTGTATCGGTCCTGTCACAGATGAATGTATAGTTGTGTCGGTCCTGTAACGGGTGAATGTATAGTTGTGTCGGTCCTGTCACAGGTGAATGTATAGTTGTGTCGGTCCTGTCACAGGTGAATGTATAGTTGTGTCGGTCCTGTCACAGGTGAATGTATAGTTGTGTCGGTCCTGTCACAGGTTAATGTATAGTTATGTCATCCCCGTCACAGGTGAACTTATAGTTGTGTCGGTCCTTTCACAGGTGAATGTATAGTTGTGTCGGTACTGTCACAGGTGAATGTATAGTTG